TAAATATATGGTTTATGAATAAATGAGAACCTCTAATTCTTCCCTTAGTAAATATGGCAAGCAGAAAGGATGGTACAAAGAGCCCTATTAAATGGTGTAATAAAAATCTTCAGTGGATGGGGTCAAACCAAAATGTGTACAGAAAAGAAATAAGAAGTAAGAGAGAGGAAATTAAACACATTAGAAGAAAAAGAAAATAAGAGGATAGAATGAATAATGCCTTACCTGAATTGGACAGATTTGAAGTACAAGAAATTAGAGTGGGAAACTATTTTAGAGAAAGCTGGACATAAAAGAAGGTGATATTCAAGGGAAAGATGGTTATTCCAATCAAATGGGATTAAATGGAAGACGTAAATAATGAAAACTGGGGGTTAACTTTCAAGTATATCTGAAGGATATGAAAGGCAGGGACATTTTAGCAAACTTTTAAGGTGTTTCTACACTTGAGCTGTCAAAGTTTGGTGGGCGTACAGTTTAAGAAATTATGAGAAGTCATGTTGGATCAGGCCAGTGGCCCATCCCACACTCTGTGTCACACAGTGGCCAAAACCCAGTTGGCATCACAAGGTCCACCAGCGGGGCCAGAACTCCAGAAGACTTTGTATTTAGAAGCTGAATATCTTTCATTGTCTACAGAAATATATTTTAGAGGAATTCATACATTTTATGGGCATTATTCGTCTGCTCAGCTAATGTTGGTATTTTCCTTTACGGGCAACATAATCGCCTGCATCAGAGGAAGGCTCCAGTACATCAAAGAAATGTGCCATCATTATCTAAGCAGAGTCATTTATTTATTTATTAGATTTGTATTCCGCCCTCCACGCCAGGGCAGGCTCAGGGCGGCTAACAAGGCCATAGGCATTATAAACAGTAAAGCAATAAAGCAATATAATAATTTAACAATTTAAAATCAAACAAACCATTTAAAATACAACTCACATAAGATAGTGGAACTGTCTTAACATCCACCATAGGGAAAACAGCTGCTGGTGTCAGGCACCTTAGGGCTTGAGTTCTTTCATATGGGTATAAGTGTTAAGCTGGTGGCCAAAGTAGATGGTAGGGCATAGTATTCAACTAGACAGTAAATCATTTAGTGTGGCATCATGAACGCTTGGCGGAAGGGTAGTAGAATACAGCCTGTACATTAAGATCACATCAGATCTTTGGATCTGGAAAGCAGTAGCATAATAGCCATGTTAGAAGCATTGTTAAAGGTTTGAAGGTATGTGATGACTTAAACTTTATACATTACTATTTGCAGGCGCTAATTCATGAAAGACTTGAATGAAAACAAATATTTGGATAATCTTTAGACACAGGAGAGCTTGGGCAAGATTAGATTTAATGCTTTTGTAATTATTTTGTGCATATGATTACATTGGATAAGTCAGTGAACAGATTCCCAGTGTTTAGGGTTTTTCCCCCTGCTTAGCCATTATGTGAAAATCTTAAAAGAAACCATCTTTAAAATTTGATTATTAAAGTCTTGATAATTAATACAGCAAGTATTCAACTGGAGTAAAGGGATATTCTGCGTAGACAAAAGGGTTAGAAATTTGTTTAAATTTGGGACCATCTTTTCCTGTTATGGAAACTAAAGGCAAGGCCCTTGCTAAAGTAATAGCAGGAACATTTTTAAATACTAGAGCCATAGAGTAAAAAGAATTAGTAGCTTATGTAGAGTGAAAGGGAACATAAGCTGCCTTAAAAATCAACCTGCTAGTTAGGAGATTCAAATGTGAAAACATTTGATGTGTTTTAAAATGGTCCCTGAAGTCTGAGCTGATAGGAAACTCCTGGGTCCTGATTGTATTGAACTTAAAATCATGGAACCTCTCAATAATGTTTTACGAGTGTCATTCATACAAGAGAAAGAAGAATGCAAACTAACACACTTTGAAGGTATCCTTCTGTTTCTTTCTGGAAGCATCATAACTATTATAAGTTTTGAGATCTCAAAGTAAAAGGATTTTTGGCTTAACTATGGGGTTGATGAGCTGTATTTAATGGTTAATTAACTGTACTGCTTGTGTTCCGCTTGGGTTCCCCCCCCCCCTTTAAATTTCACAAAATGGTAAAAGAGCTAAATGCCATATGGCCACACAGTGGTGCTGTTGCACTGTACAAAATATCTTCTTTTTTTTTGTTGGCTTAGAGAACTGGCAACTAGGCGGCTGCACATACCCAGCTAAAGCCCAGCTCCTTACCTCTCTTCTCTCCCTTTTCTATTAAATGCTGTCTCTGAATACTTGTCACCAGACAGACAATTTGGAATAAACGTCCCCATTGTATTGCTGTCTTTTCTGGGAGGAAGCTTTGAACTGCATTACCATTGGTTAATAATGACTGACCTAAAAAGATGACTTGGTTAACAAGCAGCAGAATATGCTGAATATTATATTTCTTTTTTTAAAAGTCTTTGTTGATCCTGTGTTATTTGTGCCATAAACATTTGGAACAAAGCAATATCTTAAGAATAATACAAGATACAATGAGACAGGTTTGATTGCAAGATAGGTTTTAATAAAGAAGGGACTGGATCCTTCTCTTTAAGCTGTTTCTTTCATAAGAAGAGTCTTGTTGCATCAGACTAGTGGTCCATCTTGTCCAGCATCCTGTGTTATGCAGTGGCCAGCCGATTCCTCTGGAGGTCCCAAACAGTATATAGAGGTTGAAGTCTTCCGCTGATGTTGCCTCCAATGCTCCCTCTAAGCTGTGGAGTCTTGTGAGCAGAAATTCTACCTTGTGAGCTACTGGCATTAAAGTTGTGAGCGAGCAATTGGCTACTGCATAAATTAGTTTCCTCTGGAGCCATCTTTCCTGAACTAAGACAAAAATGTTTGAGTGGGAGGCTAAAAAACTCAGCTTAGAGGGAACACTGCGGTATTCAGAGGGATATTACATCTGAACATGGGGCCTTTCACTGATGCAAGCCTTGTGTATCAGCAGCTGACTTCTTGCATTAGAGGATGCCTTTAGCAGTTCTGAGGATCCAGCTTAGAGTATCTCCAAGATGGACTAGTGGTACATTATCCCATATTCCTTTTTATCGCTGGCTACTTGAAACCAGTTCTTCGTACATCTTTGTCCCTTATTTTTCAAAGGACAAATTATGGTATCATATAAAGATTTCCCATTTTTAATCATCATTGAATCTCTTCTGTGGTTCTTGGAGCCTGACACATGCATACAACAACTATGATGATTCCGGGCCAGTTCATCACTTGGTGACTTCAGTATGCAAGGGTCCACAGATTGCAGCTGGACTTAGGTTCCAACTTCAGAGTAGGCAGAATTTATTTTGATTTATAATCTGCCCTCCCTTGTATAGATGGCCTAATGGTCTGACATAGACATAGGTAGTTCCTTATATTGTGCAATAGACCATAGATGTTTCCTGTTTTGACATCCCCCTCTTCTGCATCCCCAGTGGCATCTCTCTATAATCAACTAACTCCAGCTGTTTTGTTGTCCTTCAAGTAATGAATGCTAGACCCAAACAATTCTGATGAAAGTTAGAGTAAAAACTTAAGATACTATATAGAAGGGAAACATTAAGGTATGAAGGGATGCCTGGGTTGAGTAGCTGTCTTCTTTCCATGCCTTGAGCTGTATTCAGGTTGACGATGCTGATTTGTAGCCCACAATCCTTTTCTTCCTTTTCAGTTTTGTGTGGAAGCAGAGGCAGTCTTAAAATGAGTTAATGCGAGGTGGCCTCCTCAGGCAATAGATTGTATCTAGTTGACAAAGGAGGAGACTGATAGGTCTTAACCTATTAAATAAACTGTGAAGGTGTTCAAAAGCCTTGCACGAGAGAATACCAGTGATAACCAGAAAATAGGGTCTATAATAGACCCAATGTACAAGGCCTTTTACTGGAATTTTCTACAGTTTAGGGCATTAGCCACATAAGCAGCCTTTTCTAGCACTCATGCATTTTCTGTGAAGCTTTCTATTTCAAACAGGTGTCATCTGTTAGAAGAATATATAGTAGCATTTGATTGTTTATTAAAAAAATTATTAAGATAAGATTGCCTTGAGAAGCATCTCTTTAAGAACAGATTTGCTAGATGAAATCATTGGTCTTTTTAATCCAGCAGCCTCTTTCCCGCAGTAGCTAAACCTGGGAAATCCAATTGTAGAAAGGTCCAAAGTTCAAAACCTCTTGCTGTTTTTCCCCAGCAGCTGGTATTCAGAATCACACTGCTGCTGAATATGAGAGTTCTATTTTATCCTTCATAGGTAATAGATCTTTCTATGGCTAGCTACATGAATGTCTTATCAGGCCATCACCACTCCATGTAGCCATTCCATTCTAACTATTCATTGTCTGAAGTACTTTATTTGTGCATCAGGTTCTGGCATTATGGGAATGGGAGAAAAATTTCTCTCTGTCCACCACCTCCACACTCTTCTAAGCCCATGATAGGTTGGTTATCTTCATCTGCATCTTTTCCAGCTCTATAATATCCACATCCAAATGTGGTTGGCCAAGATCTATACAAAGGCATTATGATACTGGCCATTTTGTTCCAATCCCTTTCCTATCACCCCAACAAAGAATTTGAGTTTTTAGGTATTGCTGTGCATTCAGTCAACATTTTCATTCATCTGTCCACCACAGTTCCAATACTATTTCCTGGTTGACCCCCAGGTCAGTCGCATTGATGCATATGTAATGTTAGGAACTTTTGCCCCAAAGTTCATCACTTTTCACTTACATTAATTTCATTTGTTACATTATTGCCCACTCATCTCATTTGGAGAGATCTTTTTTGCTTTTCATCATCCTGAATAACTCAATGTCATGTACAAACCTGGCCAGTGGATGCTTACCCCGATACCAGATCATTTATGAACAAATTAATAGCTCCAGTTCTGATACATCTCAGTACAATCAAGCTTGGATTATTCAAGGCAATGGGGGGGGAATTGCTTGATATCCTAATTTACTTATCTTTTCACCCAATACTCCTTTCCCCAACTCTCAGGGTGACGCTAAATCTGAAGAGGGGCCAGCATGGAGTATATTGCGAGACAACTTCATGATGGGAGCCTCAATGAAAGACTGGGACAAGAAAAGTGATGGGGAAGACAACAATGTTCAAGATGGGGAAATCAAACAGGAGAGCAGAAGTGACTCGGACTGATGAAATTGAAAGCATGTATATTTTGGTTAAATGGAGTTTTTGTTCATCCAGGCAGCCTTATTATACAAAAGCAAAGACTTGTTAAAGGTTGAAGAAAAACTGTTTTTAACAAAACATTGTCTAACAATCTTGAAATCCAATGGTATTTCCGCACTAATTAATGCTTAATTGTTTATAGATTTCGAAAACATTTTGTACAGTCCAGACTGACTCCTTCCCAATCAGAAAGGGGAGGATTTTGCCAAGTTCATTATAAGTTTAAACGCAGCTTAATGTTGTTGTGCTCACTTTTCCATTTTGAGTTTAGTAACTTGGTTAGATTTTGATAAGTTTATACAATAAATATTGGAATACCAGAAACATGTATGAAATTAGCCATCTCTTACAGACATTTGATCTTTTTTGGCTTTTCTTGTAATACAGTAACCATTAATGTGACAGGTTTTTTGGGTCTCTTTAAGTGATGAGACAACCATGAAGAAGGAAAGCTGGGATACTGAGACATGTCATATCTTTTTTGTATGTACATGAGGGTGGAGGGACATAAGACTGGGACAGTTTGAAAAAAAGTTCCAGTAGAAAAGGTTTTCACATAGAAATTGCAGGTGTTAAATATTTTATATTCAGAGGAGAAAAAGAAAACAACAGATTTATGGAATCAGGTTTAGGAAACAGTAACAGTTTATGGTGGCTATATATGTCAGAGAGGTTATACAGTCCAGTAAGACTGAGAATGTAAGAGAAATAGATTCACTTACAGAAATATTTGGGTAGAAATAGTGTGCCCCAAAGGAAGCTTAACTCTGGGAGTTTGTTATCGCCCACCAGATCAAAGGTCAGAGAATAATTTAAAAACAGCAAAAGGATTAAGGAAAGCAGCTAGACAAAATAATTGCATTCTAATAGGTGATTTTAACTACCCACACATTGATTGGGTCAATATGTGTTCAAGTCAGGAGAAAGAGATTGGGTTCCTAGATACTCTCTCTTTTTTTTTTGGCCCCCCGAAGGGGATTTTTTATTGCATTTTTAAAAGACTATGAAAAATTAGGAAAGGGTAACTACATCTAGGGAAAAAGGAAAGAAAACCACTGTCCCGCCGCGGGCTGCTCCGCTGCCTCACAGCCTGCTGCGGCAGGACTGGCGTTACCCGCGCCGGACCCTTAGCAAACCTCAGACGCCAAAAACCCCAGAGTAGTGAGTTCGTCGGACGACAGAGGAGACAGACCTCGGGCCTTGAGAGTCAGTCTAGGAGCCGAGCCAGAACCCAAACCCCTCCCTCCGTGAGCACAGAGCTGCAGGAGGAATCAGGAAGCGACGAGGATAAAAGAGGGGTCCGACATGGACACCGTCCCTCAGCCACTGACGCAAGGGGGGAGGGCTCGATCAGGAAGGACCATCAGTTGGAGGGTACCAGCCTTACCCCGCGGTGTTGAAGACGCCGAAATAGCGAGTGTAGGTCCCTCCATCCCGGCCGGAAGTGGGCATGCCCCTACATGACCCAGCTTGTGGATTCAGGCACGGGGATATACAGGGAGGCGGGACAAAACGGGGAAACACCAAGGGACTGGGGAACACGGTGATAGACAGATGGAAGAGCCAATAAGGGTATGTCACAGGGAGGGGAATACAAATAAAAGGAAGGAAGCAACAGAATGCCGGGGAGGATTTCAGAGACGATCGCCCAGTGAATCGAGAGAGAAGGGAGAGAGGCGATCGTAACCCCCAGCACTTCCACATCTGAGGCGTTTGCTTCCTTCTTGGTTCCTCCCTCAACACAGCGACGGTATTGCCCAGGCCTGGGGGCAACCCAGAGCATGACAACCACTAATAACTAAAACCCCAAGAATAGGAGATCATAACAGCAGCTTATATAAATGTTAATCTTAAATTGCTAGAATTACTTTGAACATAGTCGGTTATGCTAAATTATTTATCTTTTTATCCATTGATTTAACTGTTTAAGAGAACCCCAAGAGCATCCAATAATAAAACCACAATTTTAAGGCACAGTTCAGTCCTTCAGCCTTCATTTTGTTTTATCTTTTCTAATCCTCAATTGATAGGCATGTTTGGGGGCAGCCGCCCCCTTATCGGAAGCAGAGTCCTCGTCGGAAGACACCGAGTCCAATTTGCCAATGGATTTGCTGTCATCTTCTTCCTTAGCGACCTCGGGTATCTCTCCCAGCTGCAATCTCAGGAACTCATGTGCTTTAAGGACAGAGTCAATCTTTTCTTTTTTATCGTGTAGTTTGAAAACGATGCCTTCTGGAATTAACCATCTGTAAGCAATGCTGTTTGTTTGTAGAAAAAGGATTAAGTCTTTATATTTCTTTCTCTTTTGCCTTATTTCAAATGGGATGTCTTTTAGAATCCTGATGATGTTGTCCCCGATTTTCAAGGGTGTTCCTGTAGTTGCTTTCAGGATTGAATCCCACACATGCCTCTTCGAGAATCTGACCACTATTTCCCCAGGCAGATTGTTCTTCTTGATATACACGGAATAGGACCTGTAGACCACATCCATTTCGTTTGCAAGATATTCCGCTTTCAAATCTGTAACTGGGGCTAACGCTTCACTCAAGAGTTGCTTTAGATTTTCATCTTTTAATTCTGGGACCCCTTGAAACCCGGAGAACCAAATTTGCTTTCTCCATTTGCAGCTGTAAAAGTTGAGATTCTTCTGAGGCTTGCTTCTTTTCCAGTTTTTGCACCTTTTTTAAAAACTTTTTTAGTGTTGGCGTCCATTTCCTTCACCTTCTCAGCTGTTTGCTCCGTCATTTTTAAAGTTTCAGTCAGTTGGAGCTGCTGAGTTGCAAGGTTCTGATTTAGAGTTGTCAGCTGTTGTTTGATGTTGGTCATCTGGTCCAGCAGAGGGTGCAAGGAATCTGCCAACATTTTGGTGAACTCAATGACTTCTTCCGGTGGAGGGCTCATGCCCCCCGCTAGTTTCACTTTTGCAAGTTTGTTTTTCTCTGCCTTCTTCCCCGCCATCTTTATGGATTGTTTACTTTTGTGAAAACTTGCTAAAGTCTCTGAAACTCACCCATACGCTTATCCGCGCTCTGGTAAGTCTCTCAAAACAGATTTCATCTCAAACCAGAAGTCCGGTTTCTAGATACTCTCAATGACTGTGCCATGGAGCAGATGGTCACTGAACCTAGCAGGGGGCTGGTGATCCTGGACTTGGTTGTAAATAATGCCCAAGATCTGGTGAGAGATGTAAATGTGATAGCACTGGTTGGGAACAGTGACCATAATGCTATTTAGTTTAACAGTTATGTAAGTAGGGAGTTGCTCAAAAAGACCAACACAACCACATTTAACTTTGGAAGGGGTAGCTTCTCTCAAATGAGGGGGACTGTGAAGAAGAAACTGAAAGGAAAGGTAAAGAGGGTCAAATCCCTTCAGAAAGCTTGGAGACTATTTAAAACTACAATTCTAGAAGCTCAGTTAAAATGTATACCAAAGATTAGGAAAAGTACAAATACATATTTTTAAAAAGGCCTGCATGGTTAACAAACAGTAATGAAAGCAGTAAAGGTAAGAAGGATTCCTTTAAGTGATGGAAGGCTAATCCAAGTGAGGTAAATAGAAGGGAGACCGTGCTTTGGCAAATAAAGTCATTGATCAGACAGGCAAAATGTACTATAAGGAACATATTGCAAAATAAATAAATAAATAAAGACCAATATTAATAACTTCTTTAAATACATTAGTAACAGGAAATCAGTGGGACCCTTGGATGAGCAAGGAGTAAAAGGATAACTAAAGGATGATAGGGAAATGGCAGAGAACCTGAATGCTTTTTTCTCCTCAGTCTTCACTAATGGAGATGGGAAGTGCTTGCCCACTCCATAACCGCCAGTTTCAGGAGAGGTACTGAAAGACCTGAGTCAGATTGAGGTGATGAAAGAGGAGGTCCTATGACTGATGGACATATTAAAAACTGACAAATCACCAGGCCCAGATGGCATACATCCAAGAATTCTGAAAGGACTCAAATGTGAACTTGTGTATCTCCTGACAAAAATATGCAATCTATCACTAATATCTGCCTCTATTCCTGGGGACTGGAAGGTAGCTAATGTAACCGCCATTGATAAAAAAGGTTCCAGAGGAGATCTGGGAAATTACAGGCTAGTCCGTCTAACAGTCGGTGGAATCCATTACTAAAGATAGAATTAATAGGTACATTGATGAACAAAAGCTTTTGAGGAAGAATCAGCATAGATTCTGTAAGGGAAGATCTTGTCTCACTAACCTTTTAGAGTTATTTGGGTGGTGAACAAGCATGTGGACAAGAGTGACCCAGATATTGTTTACCTTGACTTCCAGAAATCTTTTGATAAAGTTTCTCATCAAAGGCTCCTAAGTAAATTCAGCAGTCATGAAATAAGAGGACAAGAGGTAAGTAAGAGGTTAGGGCTTTTTAACTTGAAGAAACCACAACTGAGGGGTGACATGATAGAGGTTTACAAAGTTATGTATGGGATAGAGAAAGTAGAGAAAGAAGTACGTTTCTCCCTTTCTTAGAGTACAAGAACTTGATGAAATTGATGAAATTGGTTTAGAACAGATAAAAGGTAGTATGTCTTCACCCAAAGAGTAATTAACATTACTCATGACTGTGTGTATATGATTTATGCCGGTCTTTGACTATTAATGTCTGAATCTGAATGTAGAATTCACTGCTGCAGGAAGTGGTGGTAGCTACGAGCATAAACAACTTCAAGAGGGGATTGTATAAACATATGGAGCAGAGGTTCATCAGTGGCTATTAGCCACAAGGTATAGATGGAACACTATGTCTGGGGCAGTGATGCTCTGTATTCTTGGTGCTTGGGGGGAGGCAACAGTGGGAGTCCTGGCCCCACTGGTAGACCTCCTGATGACACCTGGGGTTTGGCCACTGTGTTGCACAGGAAGAGCCATTCTCCTGATCCAGCATGGCTTCTCTTATGTTCTTATGACTCATTGGTACTAGACGCTTCTCAGTTAGGGCTAAACTCAGGCTGAATTTCCCTCAGTATTCAGCTCTCAAGTTGTTCTCTGTTAACTGTTGCTAAACAATCAAATATCTTGGATCAGCCTGTCACTCAAGACACTCTGGCTCTGTGAGGTATTAACCCCTCATAGCCCATTACCTGTTTACGCAGTGCTTATAAGATTTTAAAATGCAGTCCGTCACAGATGCTTTCTCTAGTGCTACAAGAGACTACCCTTAATCCTTGTAAGCAGCAGATGTTCTATTCAGTGATCCCCAACATGGCACCCACCAGTGGGTTTACTGGTGGTTATTTGCTTAATTCCCTGAAGTAAAGAGCCAATCCTGGCTTTTCTCCACTTAATTTCTACTGCCGACTTCCATGTACCTGTATTTTGGCTTCTTCATGAGAAAGGGGCCAAGGAAGAAATTCTGACTGTCCCTATGTTGTTCATACTTTGGAAAGGCGGTATAGGTGGTATAGTGATCAGAGTATCAGACTAGGATTAGGGAGACCCAGGTTCAGTTCCCTACTTCGCCATGAGGCTTGCTGGGTGGGGGGGTCTTGGGCCAGTCATACTTTACATCACAGGGCTGTTGTGACAGAGATAAAATGGAATGTACATTGCATTGAATTCCTTGGAAGAAGGGGAGAATACAAATGTAATGGACAGGAAGGAGTTCAAAAGCCCAGTTCCTTGGCATGTACAGTATTATCACCAATTGTTCTGCTCAAAATAGTTTAAAAACTATTTGCTGACCATCATTATACATTTAAATGAACTGGACTGTCACATTGTAGTAACCCTACAGGCTGCATGTATCAGGTTGGAGAGATGGAATTTTTGGATGGACAGTTCAGTAAA